GACCGGAAACTACCTACACAATAGACTCTTCCAGGCCTATATTAAGTAGGCGACATAGCACTCTAGAGAGTGACAGAGAGTGACAGTGAGAGCCGCGTACGACTACCAGTATTGGACACTAACATATAGTAAGCTCCGCTTACACTATCTCTGTAACCTGTTGTTAATATATCTTTCTTACATCTAATCCGTGTTCCGTGTTTTCCTTCTGTGGTCCTAACTTTGGTCCCATATCAATCAATCCGTCTGTTCTCTCTCTCTCTCTCTCTCTATATATATATATATATATATATATATATATATCTGCCTGTTGTTTACCGTTGTTTATCTATCTATCTATCTATCTATCTATCTATCTATCTATCTATCTATGCCTTCCATATCTATCTATCTCTTTCATATCTGTCTATCTATCTATGTCTTCCATATCTGTCTATCTTTTTCATATCTATCTATCTATCTATCTATCTATCTATCTATCTATCTATCTATCTATCTATCCCAAATCAAAGTAAGTCTAAATATTTTAACAGAGGATGGAAAATGCAACACCGAAATCCAAAGGCTCATTGTGATAACTTAAAGTACCTGCCAGTAAATTATGGAAATTAAAGTTTCTAGGAAAATATTATTAGAAAAAAGGGTTTGGAAAATTTGACATTAACAGATACTGAAGGCAAGAGAGAAAAACTGAAAAGCAATAAGACTCTACAAAGGGAAAATACGAATATATTATCTTGAAATGGGCTAAAAATAATGAAAGTATTGATAATAATATAGAAAAAGCAAATAATGCCATCTATGAACACGGCTATAATGTACTGATCGTTTTTGGAAAGTAAAAAAAAATTACTATAGATACACATATATAAAAAATCTATGTATTCAATTAAAACAAGTCCTTGATAATGACTTATTGAATAGCCGAAAGCACTCGGTTACATAGAACGTACGAAACAGTTTGTATAGACTTTATATCCGCAATAGAAAAATTTAATAAAAAGTAAGTCTTTAAAAACTTTAATGAAAGAGGAATTGCTACCAAAACACACAATTGCATATATATATATATATATATATATATATATATATATATATATATATATATATATATATATATATATATATAAGAAAAATTTAATAAAAAGTAAGTCTTTAAAAATTTAATGAAAAAGGAATTGCTACCAAAACACACAATATATACCAACGGATTTGTTACCTTCACCATATATATATATATATATATATATATATATATATATAATGAAAGGATATGTGTGTATATATATATATATATATATAATAAAAGGATATGTATATATATATATATATAGTTATATATATATATATAATGAAAGGATATATATATATATATATATATATATATATATATATATATATATATATATATATATATATATATATATATATATATATATATATATATATATATATATATATATATTGCAGGGATAATGAGATTTAATTCCTTTCATTAAGTACAACTTTCCTAATGTTATTTTTAGAAAAAGTGCCAAGCATTTGTCAGAAATAAATTTAATTTAACCATTTAAATATAATTTTTTGTTCTGTTGAAGGGTCTCTATGAATTCACTTGTTCAAGAATTGTTTTTCTGTTTTTATTTTTCATTCGTTTCAGAATTTCAAACGCACTTTTGCATTTTCGGAATCGTTTCGCGTTGTTATGAAAAGTGTTTAAATAATTTCTTATTCACTCCACGCAAAATCTCGTGAGATCTTCTTAAGAATATAGTATTAATATACATATATAATCGATTATTTTGAAGACACGACAGACAGAGAAAAGCAGAGCGTGACCTAGCAAACGTGATGAAGTTGATAGCCTAATGAAAGTTTCCCTTCTTCTAAACTGATTGCCAGCCAATGTTAAAGAGTTCAGCCTATCCTGCTGCTTAAGGTGGATAGATTACATACATTCCCAAAGGGTATTTAAGTATAAGTGAATGTAATAAGGTCGATTGGAATTCGAACTCGGCTCTCCAATTTATCATATCGAGTCGCTTGCAATGTAGTACATCCAGTTAGATAGATAGAGTAGATTGTTCAAGGCGTCTTCTCTGGATAGAGAGTTTCTTTAAGCCCACTAAAACGGATGGTGAGGTATTGGGTTGATTCAGTTTCAAAGAAACTTGTTAATTAAAAATAACATTTTATTTTCGATTAACAGAGCATTTGAAAAACACTCAAGGCAATACATCGCCTCTATTCGCAAGTTATTAAAGGTAACAGTATTGACGATAGAATTGATTAAAATTACTCCCCCTACACCGAATTTACGATTGCAAATAGAAAACTGCACCTCTTCATATTACGAGATTCTTTTGGGCGGTCGACTGAAATTACCATAAATTAATTTTGTTCTTATCTATGTAAACACACACACACACACATATATATATATATACACCAGTTTGTATGTTTCTATCTAAATATCTATCGATATATATAAATATATATA